GGGAAGGAGTATCTTAAGTTAATTTTTATTGAGGTCTGTGCAGACTCTCAATATACATAATGAGCGTTTTAATAGGATAAAGTATTATATAGCCACTATCCGGGCCCTAAGACGTGACTCGGAAACACGCAGCAGGCTGCCCTGCGCTGTCCTAGCACCACCCGCCTTGTGTCTGCTTTGCTGCTTCTCACTAGCCTGGTTTGCCTGGTTTTGAACTTTCTGTGACTGAAACATGAAACTACTGTTTTGTGACTTCCTTTAGTCAACATGATGAGGAGAGCATTCTGACTGATCATCAGGCCCTACAGATCTTTTGGGGGCATCTTAAAAACCAGCTTACAAAACAGCGTGGCTGCACTAACCCTTCCACGGGAACATGCCTAGGAGCGTACCTGGCTTGTGAGTGGAGGATCCTGGAGAGAGGTGGGCACACTTTGCTCTACCTTGCCGTGAATGGAACTATTCACCGAACCCTTCGGTGTGAAGTCAGTGAATTAGAGCCCTGGTCATAATGCAGTGTGACCTCGGCTCCTTGTCACTTGATGACATCTGCAAACCCTGTGTCTACATAAGAGCCTATTCCAGTTCCAGGTGAGGGCTCAGCATGCAGTACTGTCAGACTCCGTCTTGTCAGTGGCCACTGATAGAGGGACTGATTCAGAAAGCCATCACTAATGACTTGGAGCCCCTTCTGTTAGGTGAAATTTGAGGTGTTTTCAGAGTTCTTCAAGGCTGGCATATCCACATGCTGTGCTTCATGGGGCCATGGGGTAGTTGCGGAGAGGAAGGGGGTTGGAGAGCCCTGTCTCCTCTTAGACATGAGACCCTCTGTAGCCTACAAAGATAGGTGGGTTTCATTTGTTGAACTTGCCCAGCTGTTTGGTTCCATTCACAAATCGTCAGCAGGTTTCCCGCTTGGTACCAGAAATCAGTCTGCTTTCCTCTGTGCCCCTCCACCCCGCCACCCCCAGTGCCCTTTCCTCTCTCCATCAGTCCACACTGGATTGGGCTCAGATTCCTCACTGGCAGCCTGGAGAAGCTTTACTCACTGGGGCTGCTGTGGGGACTGAATGGGCTAGTGAGACATAATCCCTGTGAGCAGAGCCTGCCCCCAGGACGGGACCCAGGAAGTGACAGCCCTAATGTAACCTATGCAGAAAGGAGCCTTGTCCCTTCCCATGGCCCCTTGGTGTGGTCCGTCCTTGTTAGAGCTGCTTGCCATCGTGATCTGGCCATGTCACTTAGATGTTTTATCCTCTTCCCCATTTGAATCCACTGACCAGAAATACATAGACGATGACCGTTTGTGCATTCATCATCGTTCTTAAATACTAGAGCCTTAAAGGAATAAAAAGACAGTGAGTGTAAGATTGCCCTGAGAACACTTGCTGAAGTACTTAATGCATTTTTACCATTGTTACATGGCTATATACTTATAACTCTGTGTGTAGTGTGTAGATGTGTTGCTGATTTTTAAGATTTCCCTATACTTTATGACATTCCAAGATGAAAGCTCTTTTCTGCCGGGACCTTGGAGAAGCGGCCCCTACTGAGCCCCAGGCTTTGACTGTTTCTGCCTCCTTTTGTGGGATCAAAGGTGCTTACTAATAACACCCAGATTTCTACATGGGTGCTAGGAAGATTCAGGGGCTTGTGTTTATGCAGCGAGTGCTTTACCCACTGAGCCGTCTCCTCAGTCACACATTACATATTTTTACTTTCTTTCTCACACATTAAATAATTTGGATTACTGCTACAACAACTAGCTGGTAAGCATTTGTAAGAGAGCAAGAAACAGGGAAGAGCCTCACCCTGGCTTCAACTGTAAGTGTAGGATGAAAGAGGACCATTCTATAGGACTGAACTCTCAGTGAGTCTGTCTGTTAACAGGAAGTCCTTCTTTGCAGCTGCTCAGCCTTCAAGTTTCTGTATGTGAGCAGTTAACAAAGAGCAGCAGGGATGGAGGGGGCTGAGCTTGGAATGGTGCATCTACAAGCCTCCGAGTCCCAGCCCTTCCAGCCACGCCAGAAGCTAAGGATAGCAGTGGGGCCACCTTCACTCCGCACCCACAGCCTGCAGAACTAAGAAAGAACCACTAGCCTATGGGTTCTAGGCAGCTCCAGAGTGGGGAGTTCAGGGAACTACTAACCCACGGACTAGATGTTTCTCAATATCATGCCCCAGAGTGCCTTAAAATCCAGTGGGAAACTGAACAGGAAGTTACTCTGTGCAAACCAAGCACTAAGTAAATAAATGCAATTTTTAAAATTAAAGTGTGTGTATGAATGTGTGTTTGAAGCAGAGGGCCCTGAAGTTTAGAAATGTTTCTAAATTTACAGTGGGCCAGCATCTGACATGGCAGAATTAGTGCCCTTGAAAAAGTGTTGCTTAGCTCCAGATTAACCTGAGACGTAGGGGACCAAGGGACAGAACCCTATAAAAGGTGAGGTGTGCTAACAGAATTAGCCAGTAGACTGTCATCCGGTATGAACTATCTCAAATTGGCTCACTGAAGTCCAGTCTCAGAGCATCCTGCCTGGCAGACCTAGGTTTGGGCAGAGGAAATGAAACCTAGTTGTTTGCTATGAGATTTACAATAGACCTGCCATCGCAGGAAGTGGTGAAAAGTTGATTGATCACTCAAGACACAGCTCTACAAGGAGAAACAGGATGTGCGCTTTCATTTATGTGAGCTCGCCCCCTGTTGTGTTGTGGACTCTTTTGGAACTTGACTATTTAATGGGCTGTGGGTTCTTTTTAACACCGCCACCCCAAAAAACGCAGTCACCAAATACAAAGTCATCAGAGGAATGATGTCGGTTTAGCTGTGTCAGAGGTGTGTGCTTATAGCGGCTCCTTTTACACTTTCCCTCTGGTTAATTTGCCAGAACTTGTCAACAGCCTATAATTCTTAAAAAAATCCTCCAAATGGGATGCTATGTCACTGTACAGAGAATAAACTGTTCTAACAGTTTTGTGATAGGATTACAATTGTAGCAACGTCTAAGAAATCTAGTTTGGAGTGTGACTTTGTGATCGCCTTGGCAAGTCTCTTAAGTACTGATTCTCTTCACTAACAAACGCATTCTGAGCATGTGACATGCTCCTCATTTACACATAAAAGACATGTAAGTGCACCAGGACCTAGTGTGTGTTCACTAAGAATATCAGAATGGCTGGCACTTGTAAGAAGCTGGCTATTTAATGTCATTGACAAAGCTTTTTTGACGCGGACTAGCCAGTTCTGCTTTGAATGCGACAAAAAGAGTCACCAACTCCCTTAGACGGCCTGATTTTTGAAATGGTGGTACCATTACAGAGATAGATTCTAGAATTTACAAGGAATGGCAAAGTAAAACCAATATTAATTTTGCCTGTACTTGAAAGAACAAAATGGCTGCCCTGACATGACTTGGTTTTTCTCCACAAATAATGTCCCCATTTTTTCTTTTATCTGTAGTGATTCCCATTTTTATTCCTCCAACTCTTAAATCTATTTAAATTTATAAATATAACTATTAAATTATAACTATTTTGAAGTTATAATTACTTTTTATCTCTGCACCGGGGAAGGAGGGGTAGAATCCAGAATGACACTTGTATAGACTGCAGAGTGTCTGTTAGAACCCAGTGTTAACAGGATACTAGCCAGCCTGAGCTAATGAACGTGGGACTATAGGAGCTAAAAGCTGAGCATGGTAGGGTACACTTCTAACCCACCACTCAGGAGCTAGACAGGAGGGTAGTGAACTTGAGGCTAAATAAGTGTGAAACCACCTTGAGTTGTATAACAGGACCATTTATCAAGAAACAAGGATCACAGTTGTAGATCATTGGTAGAGTTTATCTAGCATGTATAAGGCCATGGGTTTAATCCCCATGAAATTCTTCCCCCTTAAAAGAAAAAAGAAAAGACATCTTAGTGATGGATCAAATGAACACATGATTTTAAAGTAAGATATTTTTTCTGGAAAAATAAAGGTTCCCATAGGTGATCATAGGAACAGGTGTCATTTGGATTACTTGACGCGTTTCCAGCTGTGCTTTGTGTGTACTGTGTAGTGGTGAAAGTCCAGCTGCAGGCTGGCCCTTTGCCGAGTCATTAGCTTACTCCACTGGCTTGTCTTGACTCCTCTCTACCTTGGCAGACCTTTCCCCTTGCCTAGCTCTCTGGAGATGCCCACTGAAGCGCTGGACTTTCCTCTGTCAGCGATGCCGCCACCCTCACTCTGCCCATCCTTGGGATCTGCTCCACGTGTCTGTCAGTGTGGAAGCTCATGGGCACGCTGACAGTTCTGAGGGAGGGGCTCGGAAACATGCAGCTCCTCGATGGGAGTGCTCTCTGTTCACTTCGGCTCTTCTGAAACCAGGCTACATTTGTTTGTTTGTTTGTTTGTTGTGTGAGCCCGTGTAGCACAGGACATCTTGCAGGAGTCACTTCTTACACCCTGTGTATCTGGAGGATGGTACTCAGGCCATCTGGCTTGCCTTTACTCACTGAGCCATCTCACCAGCCCCGAAGTTTGAACATTTTTAATTAGCGGGTATTGCTTTCCTCGTTGATTTAACGCTAAGCAACACTGAGGCTCCATCATGCTTGTGTCATTTGTCCCGTTTTCTGTTGGATTGTTATGTCTTAGAATTATGCTTTCCAAAACTTCCTCTGGATTAGGCCCTCGTCTGTGATGCAAGTTGGACATATTTTTCCCACCTTAGCACTAGCCCTTTGACCTAGTTTTGTTGGATTTGGGGGTTTCCCTTAGTTCCCATAGCTTCTGTCCTGTGGGTGGGAGAAGGCTATCTGCATTCTGAAGTCATAGAAAATCCGCCTGCCTCCACTGCTTGTCCGCCTTCTCTTTCTCTCACACACACCTGGGACTTATGTTTGGGGTTTGCCCTGGTGCCATGTGAGGGCACCAGCTTCGTGATGTTTTATTTCCTGTTGTCACTAGTCCGATTCATGAGCACACCTAATTTTTCTTCTTACTCTAATTTTCAAGGTCCAAAAAGTTGACTGCCCTTGCGGACACCTTGAAAGCAGTCTCCCTCAGCAAGGCCCAGCTGGGACTGGAGCTGCAAGAACTGGAAGCTGCCGCACTTCTTGTGCAGGAGGAAGAAGCTGCTGGAAGGGCAGCTCAGTGCGGCCCCGGGCAGCCAGCTGCAGTCTCCAGTCCTGAGCCCAGTGACTCGGACAGCACCACATCGTCTGACACGGAAGACTCAGCCTCAGAGCAAGAGGAGCTTGTTGGACCTCAGGCGTCACTGCTCACTGCTCTGCAAGCAGACAGCACCCTGCTCATCCAGGATAGAGAGCTCTGCAGACACGTGGCCAGCCAGGGGTGTGACGTCAGTCAGGGGCAGACACTGGCCTCTGCCCGGGCTCCTCTCATAGAGGAAGTTGGAGAAGAGCTGAGGACCGTGCTTCAGGTTTCCACACCTGGTGACGATGCTGGGAGCCCCAGCTGTATGCAGGATGGAGAGGGGAGGGGACGAGAGCCTCGTGATTGACTCAAGTGGTTGGCTCGTTAGTGGCTGCTCTCATGTAGGCATGGGCTTTCTCATTTCCACTGTGTACTTTTTCCCTTGTCTATATAGTATAGTGCTTTTTAGTGAGCTAACAGTTATACCTTTAATTTTTATACCTTACAACTTAGAAAATAAAACCTAAAGGATTCTTTCCAAGGTGCAAGTAATATTTTAAAATGAAGACCAAAGTTCTACTAGGAAAAGCTCTAGACAGTGATTCCCAACCTCCCTACTGCTGCGACTCTCATGTAGTCCTTTGCGTTGTGGTGACCCCAGCCATAAAACTTTTCTGTTGCCACCTCATTACTGTAATTTTGCTACTGTTATGAATCGCAGTATAAATACCTGATGTGCATATACCTGCTCTTCAGCCCCCAGAAGGATCGAGACCCACAGGTTGAGAAGTGCTGCTCTAGCCGTAGCGGCACAGCTGACAGGCAGTACTCACATTCCAGGTGTGCACTGGGCGAGATGCTAACGTGAGCACACCGGTGAAATGTTCACTGCGACCAGGGTGATGAATTTCCCCCTCAGCTCCAGCTGTCTTTGGATCATTTGACATCCTTTGTCCCAGCCAGATGCCACCCACCTGTGTCCCCTGAGCAACATCCCCGGAGCGACCACTGATCTGCTGTGTCATAGTCCGGTAGCTTGCACTGCCTGCACCACACATAAAGCAAAGCATGCAGTGTGCTCTTTGCTCAGGCTCCTCTCACATAATTGCTGAGATCGATGTGTGTGCTGTTGTATGCCGAGTTTGTGTGTTGTCTTCTCAGTGCGGAGACCGTTTCTTGGGATGGATTTGTCTATTCGCCCGCTGTTGGACTTGTGAGTTGCTGCCAGTGTTTGGACTCAGAGTACAGCTATGTAAGCATTTAGGTACAAGTCTCTGTGTGCATACATGTTTCCTTTTTCCTAGGTAAATATCAGTGTGGCATGGCTGAGTGTGTGGTAAGGACATGTTTAATATTTTACCAGATTGTGGAATTGTTTTCTCTCATAGCTTTACTTTTGCTTATTTAGTTACTGTGCATGTGTGTGTACATGTGTTTAGTTACTGTGCATATGTGCATGCATGTGTTTAGTTACTATGCATGTGTGCGTGCATGTGTTTAGTTTCTGTGCATGTGTATGTGTGTGTTTAGTTACTGTGCATGTGTGCGTGCATGTGTTTAGTTTCTGTGCATGTGTATGTGTGTGTGTTTAGTTACTGTACATGTGCACGTGCGTGTGTTTAGTTACTATGCATGTGTGCGTGCATGTGTTTAGTTTCTGTGCATGTGTATGTGCGTGTGTTTAGTTACTGTACATGTGTGCGTGTGTGTGTTTACTGTGCATGTGTGTGTGTTTAGTTCCTGTGCATGTATGCATGCGTGTGTTTAGTTACTATGCATGTGTGCGTGCATGTGTTTAGTTTCTGTGCATGTGTATGTGCGTGTGTTTAGTTACTGTACATGTGTGCATGTGTGTGTTTACTGTGCATGTGTGTGTTTAGTTCCTGTGCATGTATGCATGCGTGTGTTTAGTTACTATGCATGTGTGCGTGCATGTGTTTAGTTTCTGTGCATGTGTATGTGCGTGTGTTTAGTTACTGTACATGTGTGCATGTGTGTGTTTACTGTGCATGTGTGTGTTTAGTTCCTGTGCATGTATGCATGCGTGTGTTTAGTTACTATGCATGTGTGCGTGCATGTGTTTAGTTTCTGTGCATGTGTATGTGCGTGTGTTTAGTTACTGTACATGTGTGCATGTGTGTGTTTACTGTGCATGTGTGTGTTTAGTTCCTGTGCATGTATGCATGCGTGTGTTTAGTTACTATGCATGTGTGCGTGCATGTGTTTAGTTTCTGTGCATGTGTATGTGTGTGTGTTTAGTTACTGTACATGTGTGCATGTGTGTGTTTACTGTGCATGTGTGTGTTTAGTTCCTGTGCATGTATGCATGTGTGTGTTTAGTTACTATGCATATGTACATGTGTGTGCTTGAAATTGGAGATCAGAGAACAACTTTCAGGAGTCAGTTTTTGCCTTCCACCATGTGGATTCCAAAGATGGAACCTGGATCATCAAACTTGGTGCCAAGCACCCTTACCCGGAGCCATCTTGCCAGCCCTCTTAGTGTTTACCATTCCAATAGCTGTGGAGTCGAAGCCCGATTATGATCGCTGTTTACTGATTCAAGATTCACTGTGCTGAGCCTTGTGGTGGTGCAATGCATCTTTAATCCTAGCACTCGGGAGGCAGAGGCAGGCAGATCTCCTACTTTGAGGCCAGCCCGGTCTACCGAGCGAGTTCCAGGACAGCCAGGTATACACAGAGAACCCTTGTCTCAAAGAAACAAAAACAAAATAAAAGGCTTATTGAGTTGAGCCTCCTTTTACAAACTTATTTGTTACATGTCCTCCATAAGTGTCCAAAACCTTTGCCAAATTTGAAGGATACTTTCTTACTTTTTAGTTTGAGAGTTCTTAATAAGGTTTGCATACAAGTTCTCATGAATCATGTGTTCCTGCTTTTTCACATGCCTTACTGTCTTTGATCAGCTGGCAAACTCTGGATTTTATCTCGCCGGCTGTTGGGTTTGCATTCCTACAAATATTTTTTATCTTTCTTTAGGGATTTAGCTAAGTGACTTGTACTGGTTTGGATCTGGCTTCTGTATTTGTTCCTTCTAGGGCAGAGCCCAGTGTTTATATTCCTGAGAGTAGTCTTTCAGTGTCTGTGTGTCTGTCTGTCTATCTCTCCACCCCGCCCCCTTACTTTTGGCATAGCTATGACCAGATACCTGGCTGAACCAACTTAGGAAAGAAAGATTCATTTCAGCTCATCATTTCAAAAAGATTTCCATCCATTTTGACGGGAGAGACATGGGGAGGGAACGGTTCCGTCTGTGAAGGTGGGAAATTTCGAGGGTGGCTTGTGCCGGTGGCGGCAAGCGGAAGAAAGAGACCGACACCAAAAGCAAAGACTTAGCTCTAGCGACCTGCTTCCCCAGCCGGACCCACTGCCGTAGCTCCACAGATGTCAAGGCACCGCCACTCTGGGGGGTAACGGGAAGGAATTATTCAAAACATGAGACTGGAGACCTTTCAGATTCAAATCGCCATGCTCTCCTGCTCTTTGGCTCCCCCTCCCCCCCACCATAGGCGAGAGCAGCTGCCTTGGTTGGAAACCTGTCTGTCTCCTGTGCTCCACACTTCTCTGGGCTCTGCCTGGATTGTCCCTCTGCACGGTGAGGCGGTTTTAGAGCTCACCTGGTGTGTTTCCTGTCTTTCATCACCTGATGGTGGGAAATCATGGCTTCGTGCATCCTCCCATTGTTCTCTTAGGCTATTCCCTGGTACTCCATCTGGAGTGGAGACGGTCCCAGCTTGCAGGTCATTTGCTGGGGGAGTGGGGCTGGGCCAGGTCTTGTCACTCCTCGACACCATTACTGTATTCTCAGTGCTCTAGAGACACACAGCGAGCGAGTGAACAAGTGAAGGAAACTGATTTGCTTTGGGTGGAAATGAAATGAAACCCGACCCGCATTCGTTCATTCGTTCGTCTCAGCACTTTTTATTCCAAGACTGAATTAGAACGAGTGAAAGGATTTGTATCTCTCATCTAAATTCCGGCTGTATTAACATGTTAGTTGAGGTGACTGTGCTGTTTGACATGCGTGTTAACTCCTCAACACTGTAACGGCCTGGCCTGGGTATGTTGGAGCCTTTTCTCAGGCTCCCTGGAGAGCTTCAGAATTTCTGTGACCATGGCAAATGCAGTTCTCCTCAGTAGCATGTTACCTGAGGCCGCTTCGAAAGGGCTTTGGGTCTATTTACTACAAGTTGAACAAATCCACTCTTGTCTAAATGTTTAAAGCCTTATACATTTTGTTCCCTTCATCAGTTCCTGTCCCTAAGAGTCTGGATAGGATTGACTTCCGTGAGAATATTTTGGAAAAACTGCTTTCCTTAAAGATATGCGAACATGATCCTCCTGACCTTCTTAAAGCCAAGGGGCTCTGTGAACTCTGCTGAGTATTAGCAATGTCCTGTGTGAGCGCCACGGCTTCAGGCTCCTGAGTTCCCTTTGTCCACCGGGCTGACTAAGAACACTATTGCCTCACACCTGCAGCCAAGAACACCCCTCAAAGGGGTTGCCTTTGGGGGTTTTATGCTAAACAACTTGCCAGGCAACTTTAGGGACCTCCTGTAACCACAGGGGTTTCCTCAGAATGATGGATGCTGAGAGAGAAGGCAGGCTGAGGAAAGAACCAGAAGAGACCACAGTCCTCCCTAATCACAGCACAGTGAGCTTTGACTCACTGAGCTTGGCGAGACTTGGAATTGAGTTCCAGAACCTTGCCCTGGAGGGTTATGTCAAAGCACCAAGACTTTCCTTTCATCTTGAAAATAGGACTGAAACTATAGTCCCGGGTCACCTAATAATGTGTTTTCAGAAGTACAGCATTGAGTTATTTGGTCTTTCAGTGTGTGAACATGATAGAATCTTCTTACAGAAACTGGTGGCTCCGGTGTCATCAAGCAATAGAATCTCTTGGATTTGTTTTTTGGGTTTTGCAGCAATGTCTTAACCATATAGCCTAGGCTGGCCTGGAACTTGGTGTCTTCCTGCCACAGCCTCCCAAGTGCAGGAATTACAGGCCTATGCCACCGCCTCCTGCTAGGTGATGGAACCTTAAGCGATCACCCTCATGTGGTAATGTGTCTTTGACAAAAACATGCAGAACTCGTCTGTTTTCATTGCTTATCTTATAGGACTGTGAGACTTTATCTCAAAACGCTTGATGAACTTGAAGTATTAAACCAACATGAGGGCTCATCCTTCTTGCTTGACTTCCCCGAGCTAAACAAGGCTCCATGTAACAACAGGTTGTTAGGGGATCAGCAGTGGGAAATGACCCAGCCCTGATCGTCATTCAGGAAACAGGCTAGTGATCAAAGTCTGCACAGTTCATCAGGTTTGATGGAAACATTAATTACATCGGTGAGTCACAGTGATACCTTGTCCTCTGACTTTGCATCATCCCTGGCTTCCCTGTGTTCTGTCTGTCCCATTATCCTTGAGGAGTAATGCACAGTCTTGCTGTGGGCATGGCGCTCTGGTGCTGTAACCAGGATGGTATCATCTTTCACCAGCACAAGATTAATTTACCAATGAGACAGGCCTGCTCCCTACCACATGCTGAGTTGGGTAGCAGCTGCTGGGCGGTTTTCACACCTGCCAGTGGAAAATACACTTTCTTTGTGGGAAACAGATTCTGTTACTGCGCACTGAAGGGGCTTAAAAAAGTTTATTAAA